CAGGGTAGCACTCTCCAGTAGAAATATATTGAGTGCCATAAAAAATATAATTTTAAATTGTCATGTAGCCACAATAAAAGGGTCAAAAGAAACAGGTAAACTCAACTTTAATAACATATCTAATGTAAATCAATTTATCTAAAATGTTTTCATTTCAACATGCAATCTTTGAAATTCAGAGTGTATTTTATACTGACAACACATCTCAATCCATACTAGCTACATTTCAGTTGCTCAATAGCCGATGGTATGGCTAAGTGGTTACTGTACTGGACAGCACAGATAGAGATTTTGACTGATCATTGAAAGAACTTTGACTGTTACTCTGAGTGATTTAGGAGACATTTAAGCCTTAAGAATTGAAGCCTCATGATATGATTTTCATTTTAAAAAGATCAGAGCTAGCATTTACTGAGAATACACCATAAGGCATTGGAATAGAAACCTAGAGACCTACTGCAGTAATCAGGGAGGAATGATGGTGGCTCAGATGATACCAGTGGATACCACAAGTGGTTGAATTCCTAATCCTTTAAAGACAGAACAAATAGGATGGGTTGCATTTGGTGTGTGAAAGTAGTCAAGATGACCCCAAGACTTTGGCCCGAATAACGGGAAGGGTAGATTGACAAAAACTGAGATGAGAAAGGCTGCTGGAGGGCTGGGGAAGGAAGACAGGTGTTCAGTCTTGCATAGGTGCTTATGAGAAATCCACGAGGCATCCAAGTAAAGATGGTGAAGATGCAGAATAGGCAGCTGGATATGACTCTGGAGTTCAGGGGATAGTTTGGCAGTAAAATTTTGGAAGTCCTCAACCTTGAAATTGGATAAGACAAGGACAAGGGAGTAAGAGTAGACAAAGAAGAGAGGACCAAGGACTGAGCACAGGGACATCTGAAATCTAAAGGTCTAAAATAAAATGAAATTGACATTAAAGAGTATCAAATATTTTAGCACTTTTGCATTATATTTAAATTTTACAAAATTAACATATATGTTCATTACCATCATTATGTTTGTGTACATTTTACTAAAAACTATAGCTTTAGATGAAGCCTAAAACCTTGTTTGTGACATTTTTTGCTTTAAAATGTCTCATAAATCTTCCAGTAATTAACTTATAGACAACTATATTTAAACAATAGACAGTAAAAATAAAAACTGTGGTCATAATCAAATTAGAAACTATAATCAGTATCTAATGCATATTCTTTATACATATGTGTGTGTGTGTGTGTGTGTGTGTGTATGTTCTCCAGGGATATATAAGGTGATTGTTCTTTGAAATTATAGCATTAAACACTAACACAGCAGTTTAAAATCTATCCCAGTCTACAATCCAATGCAGCATTGTTTTGTTTGCAACAAGTTTATCAATATGCTTTTTTTAAAATATAAAGTTTGATTGATGGTTATGTTTTCTTACCTCATTTTAGTCTGTCCATGAATGAGATCTTTATTCCTTTAATTATAATCAGATCTCAGGCTTGAAGAATGCTTCATAAAATAAAACTCATTATTTTTTACTAGAAGCACATTCATGACCTAAAAAAATACAGCTCATACTTCAAACGAGATTCTAACCCTTGTGATCTTGTATGTTAAGGCAACTATGTACAATATGATGTGGAAATTAGTGTACTCAATTAAAAGCTGAAAATTCAAATTAAAAAACTCATTTTTATCTGGACAACTACCTAAACATGCTGACCAGCAGCTTTTTTGTTTAACACGAGCAATCTTTTGTGTCTTTTCAGTCCATACGAGAAGTCACGGGCTACGTGCTGGTGGCTCTTAATCAGTTTCGCTACCTGCCTCTGGAGAATTTACGCATTATCCGTGGGACAAAACTTTATGAGGACCGTTATGCCTTGGCAATATTTTTAAACTACAGAAAAGATGGAAACTTTGGACTCCAAGAACTTGGATTGAAGAACCTGACAGGTAAGGAAAATAGGCACAATAGCAAATAAAGTCTTATCAATGTAGACTTACGTGTGTCTGGTTTCTGCAGTGTGTATTACAATGAGGAACGCTATAAAGCGTTTAAATATCTGCTGTTTATTCATTTTATGGGAAATGATGCCCTGCGATGCCCTTGCTGTGTGTACAGATACTGTAAGTGCAGTCTGAAGGATAACATATGACTGTATCTCAGCTGAACAGAAGTGTGCTCTAAGGAAATGCTCAGTGACTGAAAACTGAGATATGAAGCAGGTTTAAGAATGCTGTGTTGGACGGTCTCAGGTGAACGGTGGACCACATCATCAAATTTCTGCCGTAATACTCTCTCACTTTCGTCAGAGCTCAGTAAATCCACAAACCATTATATCTAGTTCCACTAATCTAGCTTTTGGTACAATCCCTTGTTTTTGGAAAGCATATCGAATGTATTAATTCAGTTTTGACTTATTCAGTAACTCAGTAAAGGCCATCAGTATTTCTTTCTTAGAATGCTTTAATATCATCAGTGACATTTTCCTAAGATTAGAAATAGGTCATTGCTAGCAATCTGAAATTATCATCTTGCTACAAAAACACTTTAAGGAATTGGTTTTGTGATCTGGCCCATGCGATCCCACTGATACCTGTTTAGTTCAAGTAGTTTAGAGTTCGTAAAGACTATGGTGGGAAAAACTTTTGGTACAAGGATTTTAATCATGAATTTCACCATGTGTGCCTGTAACCAAATTGTGCTAATTAGCAATTAATTACCTCACGGTGGGAGAAAGGAGTTTAAACTATTAATTTATTCTAAATTAATATGATCTATGTGTTTTGCATGAAAATATCTACTGACTTTATGTGTTTCAGTCCACTCAGTGGTGATGTTTCTTAATATAGGAATATGAAATATTTTAGAGGTATTGCCTTAAAATATTAAGAAACAAATAAGATTAATGTTGTCAAGTTATTAAAATTATATGCTTCTTCTATTTATAGTGGATGTAAAATATATAATTTTAAGTTAGAAGTAGCTTCATAGTTAGCCAGACGTGAGCTAAAATTGAGATATTTTGGATGAAGAAAGGAATGCTGATTATGTTATTTATTTTGGACATGATTGCTATAGACTTGATGACATAATGGTAAATGCAAATTGCTCAGAATTTATAGATTCTTTCATCAACATTTTTACCTTTTTTTTTCCTTTTAAAGATAGTTATCTCACTGAAGAGCAGGGTATTTGATTAAATTGCTACTTGCATGGAAATAATGATAGGAGGAAGAATTTTGGAAATGGAACAGATACAGAAAAACTGAGTGATTGAAATTAGGAATCTAAAAATAACAGTTAAAACCTGTATAGGAAGCACTGTGTTTTCTTCATGATTTTCTTCTGATTATATTAAAGAAAAATTGAATTAATTTATTTTCAAATTTTTATGTTATTTGAATTATGTTATTGTTCCACAATATGTACTATTTGAAGAATCCTTTCACATAGAAAATTAGTCTTTAAAGAATTATTTATTTCCACTTTTAACATCATACTATTAAAATGTTAAAAAGTTATTTAATCAAAATTATGCCACATTTAAACATACCTTATATATTGAGTGAGCTTACACTAGGTCTTATGATTGTGAGAATTGTTTAACCTGTTTCATATCAAAATGTAACACTATTATTTTAAAATATTATTCTCTAAACTGCCAGAAAGGCTTATGATATTTTCTTGTGTAGCAGTAAAGATGAATAATTAATAAATGAATAAAAGAATGATTTGAGTGTTTAGGAAAAATATGTATTTGTTCAAGACTTATTACTAATTCCTTTTTGAATATGAATTAATAACAAATGCAGTCAAATAAATGGTGAAAAATTTAGACAATTTGGGAAGCTTCCAAATATTTACATGTATATATATTACGTGATTGATAATTACATGCTAGCATTATTCTTTGAGACAGTGTAGAATCATTGACCTTATTTTAAAGGAGAAGATCAATAGTGTAAGTCCAGTTTTGAAAATCAGAAGTTAACACAGTAAGCACGATTATGTTTGTGTGTAAGAATGAACAAGGAAGGACAGGAGACACCTAACTGTTCAACTCTATATAAAGAGGAATTGGGGATAAAATCTGTTCTACAATAATACCTTAAAAGAGCTCGGTGTTCTAGGCGACCTGAGTAAAATAGCAAGCAAGCATTGCAGTTGACTTCAGGCAAGATTGTTTTTGTGTTTCGGAAAGTCATTTGTTTTATGTTTTTTGTTTATGTGCTGTACAAAGCAAGCTGATGATAAACTTTTAAAAAAATGAATCTTATATTAAGGGTAGGGCTACCAGGGCTGACCCTAATTTTAGACTTATCTTGTGTGATATGAGGGGAAATAGAAAGCCTGCTGAGTATTGAAGTATCTCACTGCCTACCTGCGGTAGTGAATTAGACTTTTAATTCCGTTCTTAAGGGGCCAGCAGCATCAGCATCACCTGCGTACGTGTTTTAGAAATGCATATTCTTGGGCCTCACCTGAGACCTAATGGATGAGAATTCTGTGACTAGGGCACACCCATATGTGTTTTAAGGATCCCTCCAGTGATTCTGAGGACTATTAAAGTTTTCATTCACTTAATGTCTCCTGGAGAGAAGGAAAGGAGTGAGACAGAGAACAGATAAGCTTTTGATTGAATTGTAAGAAATAAACGTTTGGTTGGGACGAGAAATGAAATGAACACACTAGGAGCCTGGACGGAAACATATGGGTGTAAAAGAGCTTTGAGATGAGGAAGATGCTGAGAATAAACTTTCTTCTGGATCATCATTTTGTCTAATGCCGACTTTACTTAATGGTAAATCATTACAAAGACAATTCTAGTTTATTGTGAATTTTCTTTGTGAGCAAAATTTTATTCTTAAGTGCTTTCAACAAGATAAATGACAAGTACTAGTGTTATAATGAAGATTTTTGAGATTGAAATTTCAAAGCTTTTTGATATATCCATATTTTGTGTTTCTCCTGAAATTTTTTTTTTTTTTTTTGCTGTGTTGACTTTAGAATAGTATGCCTTTGCAACAGTATGTATGTCTCCTGAAAACTCTTTGTGTAAAAGGGATGTTCTGTTAACAGGATGAATGTCATATGTAAGGGTTAATGACAGAAAAACTTGTCTTACTGCTGCCACTCACATTTCCATGGTCCATTATGGGTGCGGTGGGGCAGGGTGGAGAAGAGGCAGTTCCCTAGACTAAGGATATGCTGCCCGATCTCAGTGGGAATCAGGAACTTGTCCTGGCAAGCTGAAGGTGCCCTATGACACTGGGTCATCCTTTTCTGGTCAGGGGAGAGACCACACTTCCATCAGTGTGTCCCTTTAATCATATAATCATCTCCTTTGGGAATGACATTGCTGCATCAGAGGACAAAACTGGAGAGAATTTATTATTACTTCCTCTGTAAGGTCATTTACATGTGGCTGTGGTTCTTATTAATCATTCTCAGTGATGATGTTCTGATTTTTTTCTATCAGCTCCTTCTTATCCAACTGTTCCCATTCAAAATTCAAACCAATATTTAATATATTTACAACCTTAAGTTGATAAACTCCTCCTTATTTAGTCACCTATCTGGCCAAAATCTAAAGGTTGTTTCATTATAATGGAACATAAAAGCCACTATTCTTCCCTTCTATAATTTATAAAATGACCTTGTCTGTTAGTAATGGTGGACAATATTATACAATTTCATCTATGTGTTATATTCTAGATATGGAGGAGTCTTTGAGACATAGCTAAGTGTACTTATATCTATTTTAGTATCCATATTCTACTTATAATGATGATAACCCAGGTACAAATTTAATACCTGGATATGCTCATTTTTTCTCACCAGCTTTCACAATGAATATTTGAATTTTCATTTGATGAATTATGAGAATATCTCTTTAGAGTAGGTGAAATTTGGGGATGATACAAATAGGCAATTTGTATTTTTCAAATGTTAGTCAAATATGATATATATTTTCAGACCTACACATTTATGTATTAATGCTTTTAATTAATATTTTGTGGTTATTTGGCTAACTGTGTACTGAGTCATCTCAATTAGATTATTACTTGAGATGTGGACAAAAACAAACAAGCCAAAAAAAAAAACCAAAAAGTAAAATGCTTAAGTTATTTTGGGACCCTGTGTTAATAACCTAATGGATATATTAAATTTACTGAATTCAGCTGGACTAAAAGTAAAATAAAATATTACTCTAGGAGATACAACATCTGAATTGATGGACCATTTGAACAATGTCATATCTGAGCATTACATCTGAATGTCTGCCTTCAAGTACACGATGGCTTTTAATTAAAATAGTACACCAGAGTAACAGTGCCTTCTAACGTTTAAATTTCTTAACCCTCCTTTGGCACTATTCAGTAATGGTCAAATAAATGATCTAATTTAGAAATGGACAGGCCACCTGTAATTGACTCAATGTATGTCGAAGAGCATGGATGTGGAAACAGAAAAATCTGCTTAAATGTCGTATCACCACTTAACACTCTGAACATCTCACAGAGACTCGGATTCTTCATCTTTAAAAGTGAGAGGAAAATCCCACCTCACAGTGTTAGTTTTAGGCATTAAGGGAGTAGTCAGAAACTTGTCAGCCACAGTACCTTTCACAAAAAGGATGCTTAGAAACCTTAGTTCTCTTTCTCTCTATTGTTTTGATTTTAGCTTCCCTTGGTGTCAACACACTGACAAAACACGTGTACCTGTTTCTGCATATTCAGTAGGTTCCTGTTACTTCACTGGGCTCCGAAAAGTGATTTGTTTAGACAAAAATATGCTCCAAACTTCAGCATCTCTTCTGATACTACTTTGAAACTACTCTAAGTGTGTAAGATCTCTTTCTCTGGTGGTGAGAAGCCAGAGGCTTTTCTTCGTCAACGTTCAGCGTGATTGCTGTCTTTGGTGCTTCACAGCTCTTCGTTCCTGTCTC